CCAAATTATGCTAAAAATAACCAAAAATCATTGCGTGTCAAGAAAAAAAATAAAAAACGATTAGTACAAATATGTCAAAATGTCAAAACACAAATTTTCTGTGATATTCCAACAGTAAAAAAATATTTGATATGACTTTTTTGAAAAATGGATGAAGAAAAAATACCACCTGCAAACAAAAATTAATGTTTAATAATTAGCTAATTTTAAACAATTTTCCGAAATGTGAGCACGTACCATAAAAAAGTACAACTTTATTTTTTCATATAATATGATATCGTGTATAATAATAGATTGATATTTAAGTGGACGGGTTCAGAAAAACGCCACTCAGTCTAAAATTTGAATAACAATTCAAAAAAGCTAAATAAGTATTCAGTGTACAAAGTAACCGGAATTACATGTGTATGTATTTAATAAAACAAAAAAAAATTATTATGTTAATCGAAATTGATTTTGCAACTATAACTATTCTCTAAATATTTTTTATAGATTTATACATAATATTTTAAAGTAAAGCCTTTAGCTCCTAAAGCAAAAATACTGAGTTTGATGAATCATACTTAATAGTTATTTTACAATAATCAATAATCAATTTTTCTGGAAAACCCAGTCTTTTTTAAACATTTATAAATTTCGAATACTTTCTTATAATATGCATATATAATATATATATGCATTCTAATTTTACATAATTCTTTCCAATTTGTATGAAAATCATATATACCTTAAAGAAAGAAATCTACTTCTCAAAAATAACATATTTTAAGTGCATTTTAAAATTCAAATTCCGGATACTTTGTACTCTAAACTTTTATGATAATATTTTTAAAATTTGTCAAATTCTTTAATAAAATTTTTGATTTTTATAAAGCAGAAAGCTTTTTGGTATTCTGGACACATCTTGACAAATGTCAAAGCTCAAGTACCTAGTGCTTCTCACCACACTGTGGTGTAAAGTGTTTTGTATAGAAAACTATTCGTAATTGTTCGTAACTGTTCGTAAAAAATGCTTGTAAAGAGCACATATTTTAAGTTGCCAAAAGCATTTTTAATGCATTCAAATAACAATAAAAAAAATGCTTGTAAGGAGCGTATATTTTAGTTAAGAATATTTGTCATGCATGTAAATAATAAAAAATGCTTAAAAAGAGCATATTTTTATAGTTGTCAACAGCATTTGAGGTATTCACAAATAACAAGGAAAATAGCTTTTTATTTATGTCACAGAATATTAAAACCTTTACAACAGTCAATTTTGACAAGTGTCAATGTTTGACAATTTTATAAAGTGCACAGAATAGGTTCGTAAGTGCCCCGATGAGCACTTTCACAAATCCTTCTTTCACTACTTTCACTACTTATTACTGAATGAATGGTTCCACAAAATCACTATTTTTTAGTATCCAAACTATACACGGGATTTTATTTATATTTTTTACCTGCACGACATAGGTCTGAACTTAATCATTTTCAAATATTTATAGTAGATACTATAAACTGCCTGTAATTGTTTTTGGATTCCTACTGGTGTGCCTTCTCTAACAGTCAATATCAATCTGAAAAATACCTAAAAATCAATCTGCTGCTATCTGCAATAACCAGATTTTGACTTCTACATTACTCTTACATATCGTCTACAACGTTGTGTTTTGAATTATTCCGATTCGAATCTCAACTTCAAATCTCTCTTTATTATAAGTAGATTGTTACTAGAGTATATCTGATATGCACTCACGATGTGATATCATAAATTTGTATATAATGTTATATTTGTAAAGACAATGCTATCACATACTTGTTAGAAATCTTTTCTGATCTAAATTTATAGAATTAGGTTAGATTGGAGTGGCACCTTTATCTCCAAGAAAGCTCACTTGAGCTAAAATAATGACCCATTATGTTACCACAGGAACAGCATTGGTTTATATATGCACTAAAATGTTCAGTATACAACCAACGGCAAGAGTATTCAATGAATTTATCTAAGTCCCTAATTTTGCAAAATGAAGGCTTGGTCAGGTCAGGAACCCCGATAATTATAGATGAGCTAGAGATGGGCTCTGACACTTGAAAATTCGTGGAAAAATTTAACAAAACATTTATCAGTAGCTTATAGGTTTGATTAAGACTCTCCAGTAGTTCCTTTAGATTATTTGCTTTTATAACTTTATTTACTTCTTTATTTCTTTTTTTGTTTGTTTTTTTTTTGTTTCATTCTTTTCTTCAATTTTTTTTCTCTTCTATTCTTTTCTTCTCTGTTCGTTTTTTTTCTTTTATTTTTTTTTTTTGCGTTTCTTTTCTTCACAGAATTATAACATTAGAAATGTTTTATAAAAAATTTTCCATAGAAAAAATCTTTCTTCTTATTCTAGATTAATCTTATCGTAATTTTTTGTTCTTTTTGTCTGTTGATTTAATGTTTCTAGCAGTTTAAAATATTGCAACAATGCTTTATGTTACTTCAATTAATCTTCCAATTCTAGTTTTTTAAAGTAATCTCTGTTTTCACTTACTTTCCTAGCCTTTGATAACAATTTATTTTAATTAACTTTTATAATTAAATACAAAGTTTCAAAATCTCCTCGACTACCAACTACTAAAATTACACTGAATGTATCTTAAAGCTGCTGTAAAACTAATTAAAGCCGACACAACACGAAAACAATATATAGTATTCCTCTTCAAAATTTATATCCCCTACAAATATATAAATTAAGAACCACTTAATTGTGTTGGACCTACAGCAGGCTATAATTTTCACATATATAAGAATGTGGAAAAAAATCTATCTACAAAAAAGTGCTACCGGCAAAACAATAACTATAAAGTAGACAATCTTTTCGTATGCGCCATCAACCTAAAGTAAAACATACAGCCTCAACACAAATACTGCAATTAAACCCTAACAACATACTCAAGCAACGTTGGTATGTTGCATTACAATTGTAAGACAACATAAGAATGCACTTCTGATACACGATCGGCACATGAGAAGCTCCAGAACTCTTGCAACATAGAACTATAAGCTTTGCTGCAACTCCACGTTTTTTGCTAATTTCTTTGGAATTCCCATACCAACAGATACGCGCGCTTTGTTATGGTAATGTCTGCAACATTGTACAATTCTGTATTCAATTAATGTGCAGACCATCAACAATAATCAACAACATTGCACCTCAAAATGAGCACCTCTCCCCACCGTAATCTCTTAGCATATCTGCCACAGCGAACAGACACTCTGCATTCATTGTAAGACAGCGGCAAGTATCACAATTGCATCTTCTCCATTGCATCTTGTAGGCTATTTTTAATGTTGATGATGTTGTACGTTAAGATCCATGCCAAATGTGGCCCTTGGCCTTCACTTACCTTGAAATGTTTTTATTTTTGGCATATACAACAAACGGACAACGGTTAAACGGCTTACGTTTTATTGGACAGGCCGTCAAGCCGTTACCGAAAGACGCGCAAAACGAATAACAGAAATTGTCAAGAGTTTCTTCAATGACCTACGATAATATTTCAATTGTGTTTGGTGAAAGGAATTTCCGCATACATTGAAAAATAATTTCAGATTCTTGCAAATCGTTGGAATAATAAAAATATCAGAATAATAATCCTAAAAATAGTATATATGGTTAATAATCAATTATAAATTCATAAGAAAAATACATGGAAGTAATCTTTTATCTTAAATTAAAAAAAGGACGAAGTCAAATACGCTCAATCATTTTTATAAAGATAATTTAGTTCTTCGTAAGATCTTATAAAGAAAAGTTCTTCGTAAGATCTTTGGTCCTCTACGAGTTGGCGACGACTACCGCATTAGAATGAACCACGAGCTGTACGAGCTTTATCACCGACATTGAAGTAATTCAGCGCATAACACCAGCGGCTTCGCTGGCTTGGTCAGTCGTAGAAGGATGAAGACGCTCCGGAAAAAAAGGTGTTTGAAGCAGTAGTTGGCGGAAGAAGACGTAGAGGTAGCCGTGTCTCCGGTGGAGTGATCAAGTTGAGGGAGCACTAACTGGACTTGATATACGAGACTGGAGAAGGCGCGCACGCAGCAGAGGCGCCTGGGGAGACATGCTGCGTCAGGCCGAAACTCGGTAACGGGTTGTTATGGCCACATAAGTAAGTAAGTAAGTAATTTAGTATACCATTTAAAATGTGGTAAAGTTCAGGTAAATATATTAGATATAGACAAGTATTCTATTTGTCTAATTACTTGTCCATTCTTCCCTGGATATATTTTATATGTATTTCAACATCTCAAAAGGAGCAATATAAAAAAATTATGTTATTAAGTATTAATTATTTAAATTAATAAAAAATTAAATTATTATACATAATAAGATTCTTAGCATTTCCTAAAATTCATACCATCATATGCAAATATAATCTTATATATAATACAAGAGCAATCGATGCAATAGAAGCAGTGAAAAAGAAAAAGGTAACAGTACCGGAGAGAGAGAAGGCTACAAGATAAAAAAAGTGCCGTTGAAATAATACAAAGTGAAACAAATTTGCTACAGACAAAGTCCCATAAACCATTTTCAATATTATATCTGCATAATGAAAACAGAAATTCAGAAAAGAATGAGCGACAAAGGAGTCATTTAAAAAAGGACTATATATAAACTTAATATTAATTTTTCTCTAAATAATATATTATTTTTACAACATTGCTCTAATTTCGGAAACGCTAGACAGACAGCAAACGTGTAGGAAGAGTACTCGCCAGACTATAACTTAAACTCTGCTGTAGATCATAAAAAAAACTAAGACTAACAGTTAGGAAGAAAAATAATTGGAAGCTATAGAAATCTTAATCTCTTAAGGCAGTATGGATAGTCACAAATCAAATTGTAATCAAAGTGCAACATATTAGATGTAGTAAAAAGAAATCCATTATTTTCCTAATATATGGCTTTAAATATCTGTATCCCGAATTGTATAAATCCGATCTAGTTACACCAGATGGCATTAGAGAGATGAGATTTCGTAATAAAAAAACTTATGATGTGTGTTTGGTGAGTTTGGCTGCTCCCCTTGGTAAGTTCTTATGCATATTATGCACCTTATAGTTCAAACCTGAAACCAAGTGATTATAATCTTTTCTTATCCATGGCAAACGATTTTTCTGATATAAAAATTCATTTCAAAAGAGGTTTTATTGATAATACGAAATCCTAAGCTTTAAAAAAAAATCAAAAATGATTATTTTTCAATAAGTATAAAAAAGAAATTATACCTAAGGGTTTATAGTTCGCCCAATTTTTACGAAATCGCAATTTGTTAAAATTGCATAAACCTGTAAATAAACTACGTAAGTAAAAAAATGTTGAAATAGTCCATTTGGGGCCAAATTTGGAGGAATTTGAATAGACCGAATTAGATTCAAAAGGAAGACCATCTCAAAAACTTTGTTTAAGGAAAATTTCATTTCAAATTTCATTTCTCTATTGGTTCAGAAAATACAGAATTTTGATTGGCTAAATTATGTTTGGGAACACTGAATCGGTGTTTGTATTCCTAACTTAATAAAAAAAAATATTTATATTAATAATATTAATATTAATGTGTTACTACTTATACTTCTCAATTTGTTTAAATATAATAATCTATATATAAGTTAGACATTTGAATTTCAAAACGATAAGTAATTTGTTGCGATGTTTTAATATAAAATCTGATATATGAAGTACACGTACACTTCCTTTAAATCTGGTTCTGGAGTATTTGTTTGTGAACACTATTTTGAAAGATAATACGTAATATTCATCATTCTATATTATATACATTAATATGAAATATAAAATAAGTATATATATAACTTTCATGTAAACTTCCTTTAAACCTGGTTCTGAAATAGTTATCTGCGAACGCAATTTTGCCAAATATTATATATCATTTATCAAAACTATATAATATACATTTATATACAACTATATATTTACCATATTATATATACGTATATATTATAAACGTCTAGAAAAGTTATGTGAAGTTACGAAACATTACATTATTTTTACTTAATATAACTACTTATAATTCTCAATTTGTTTAAATATAATTATCTATATAAAAATTAGTTATAAGAATTAGTAAGTGATGATCAATTAGTTGTAATGTTAATATAAAATGTTGAAATATATGTGAATTAAATGTTCACTTCTTTCAAATCCGGTTTCGTAGTGCAAACAGTAAATACCAGTAATAAAAATTTAGTACTCGGCTATTCATGTGTCCTTTAAAAATTAAATAATTCTATTAAGTCAATATGTGGTTTATACATAAAAGCAGAGGTATCTGGTATCTCTTATTGTTTGGATTAATTTGGATTGTGTTAATCTGGTATATTATCCCAGTAATACTTTTTGTGTTAGTTCTCCTTTATTTTTATGAGGGAAAGGAGCATACTATGTTCTGTTCCATAGAAACGTTCCGACCGCATCGGTGTGACAAAAACTATCTTTATGATATTTTCCATGACTATTACTTCACTTTACTGTCTTCTATCTCTGCAATTTGGTTATATATCCACTCGTATAAGTGACTTTACAAAGACAGCGAAACTAACTTTATCATAATTAATATTTTAAAAATCCTACTCCTTCCTTTCCACAAATGGAAGTATTTATTGTATTGTTTTTCATAGCTGAAGTGTTTTGTAGACATTATAGTCATAATTCATTTATGTAATTTTATTTAAAAAAAAAATTTAAATGTAGTGCGAGATAAACACTTGTATATATCTTGTATATATGTATATATCAATTCAAAACAATTTGTGTTCTTAATTTAACTACAGTTTTTGTATACTAACGCCTTTATTACTTATCACTAATAGCATATGAATTACATGGAATGGCATGTGGCGTTCGTATTATTCTAGAGTTAAGCACACGACACATTAATTGACTCAAATGTCTTATTTCTGTCTTTAATAATCGAACTACATTCTCTACACTTAGCCAAGGTCTAAATCAAATAAAATTTAAAAAAATTGATGTGTGCAACATAAGACAGGAGATTCTTGCGTG